TTAAATCTTACTTAATTTTCAATAAGCCCGTGAAGTCATGAACTGAACTACTGAAGTGAAGCTTGCATAGTCATGGGCCAGTTACCATCTTTATTATATCAGGTCTGGACTGGAGTGGATCATTTGGGCCTTGTTTCGGTTCAGATAGAAATAGGGTTTCTAATGTACCTTATTTAGACCTTGAGGTTCATTTCTTCATCTCAATCCCTAACGCTGGCGCACATGGCTTATTTTTGGCGATTCTTTCGATTTTTCGTTTCAGATTCTAGTGTTTCCAGCTCAAATTTCAACTGTATTTCGAAGATTGTGTAGAGGTAATGATGAAACAAAACATTTCTCGATTCTGATTATGAAGTGTTTGGGATTTGATCGTGGGTGAGTAAAACACTCCATTTTCTTCTCACCAAGCATCATTTGATGACCGAATTTGTGCGTGTCTGAGCCTCTTCATTCAACTGTTTTTGTATAAATTTTGGATCGCTTGTTTGAATTTCTTGCTGGAAATAATATGGGGTTTGCGATGATAAGATGTTAAATTCCTCGTTCTGAATACCAATTTTGGGAATGATAGATTGTTTTACCAATTTGGATTTGAGCAAAACCCATGTTTTCATTTTTGTTTTTTTCAATCGTTACTTTCAAAATCGATTTTGGTTGATGTTGTAAACAGTAGGTTTAGAAGTGCTGTTTGAAAGCGAGATGGATGTAGTTTTCCGTAAGACTCGAGTGTTATTTGATGCATACTTGCTGCACGATGATTTCAAGAATGGATCAGCCATCAAATTTGGAAAGAAATTGGAATCCATTTGATGCTTGTTTCTGTGCAGAGGAGAGTTTGAAGACGATTATAAATCTGAAGAAGCCACGGTCACCGAGCGATAGGGCTGCACGCTAACCAATCAGAATCTTAGGGCTGTTTACCAAATTTTTTATTAAGTCCTTAATGGATAAATTTATTTTATTGTTTATTTTTTTATCTGAATCAATAGTCTGGATAACATAAATGATCAATTTACCCCTGAGGATGAATAGTCCAAATAAAATACAAGGAAGGCGTTGTCCCAAATTATTTTGCAATCAAAATAAGTACAGATGTCTACTGTATGAATAATCCAAATAAAATACAAGGAAGGCGTTGGAATCATCGTTAATGAAAACAAATGGTTTATCTGAGTTCATATTCCTGAATCATCGAACAATCGAACGACAAGTCTATGGAAATAGAAACTGAAACATTTTAAAGTGAAAATCAGAAATATATCGTTCAAGTGAAACAGAAATCAAAACCTATGGTGTTCGAATCCATAGATCCTTAGTACAAGCCCTATCCTTTCGATTAATCGTGTCAGAACTTAGAAGTAAAATCTCGAACTCAGTTGTTGCTTCGTTGTGTTGTGATTCTATCCAGGAGTTGAGCAAAAGAAGACGAGGAGACCAGCGTGCAGTATTTCCTTTGGTTGCCTATGTTCATCGAAGTTCTCCGGTGTTCGTCACATCCATCGCCGGCCGTAGTTAGTATTTCCAGTTAAATCCTCTATTTGGATCGATGGAGAAGAGAGAGGCGCTGTTGGTGGATAGGGGTAGGGCAAGTCTTTTGGCTGGCTTAATCTGGACAAGGAAGGATTTTCATCTGGGCGAATAAGCCCATTTCTGAGCGAATAAATCCGAGGTAAACAACCTATTTTGTCTGTGCGAATAAGCCAGTTTATTCACTAAGCTCATTAAGCCTCAAGTAAACAGGTCTTTAATCTTACCCCGGTAAGAACTATCAACGATCGACGGTAAAAACAAATGTTTTACCTGACAAGTGACAGTGACAAATCTTACTTGAATAATGCTTACCGGATAAATTATTGCATATGACTCTATTTTTGTAGACCGAGAAGCTGTAAAGGGTACCACACCCCAAAACATTAACAGAATTGAAGACGAATTTGTCCAAAAATAGTGGTGATAGTAACAACATTAGTCAAAAATACTAGAGGTGTACAAAATTGTCACTTGCAAAACCCGTCCAACCCAACCTAATGAAATCCCGCTTGTCAAACCCTTAATTAAAAGGGTTGAATTTGTCCAAAAATAGTCTCTGATAAATTGTTGCATATGACTCTTTCATATGTTGTGTTTGTGATGTGTGTATATATATGTATATTTATATATACGAGTGTGTATACGATGTGTGTATGATGGTTATGTGATCCTTTTTTTTATATGGATGAGTTGCGGGTGGGTTATATATATATATATAGAGAGAGAGAGAGGAGTGATCATATGAAAACCGCTCTCATTTGTGTAAACCGTGCAAACCACCTTCATCTGTCGATTTTATTGTCTAATCTTATGAAATTTTTTAATCTTGTGAAATTGTTTCATATAATACTTTTTTTGATGAAGTTGTTTCATATATGGTTGTGAAATTGTTTCATATAATACTTAATGAAAC